AACAGCAGCTCCTTGGGAGTCTCAGGGGCTGGCCCCAGAGGTGGTGGATAGCCTTTCTATTTAGCTGTCCAGAGATGCTCCTCCCAAGGCGTAATTCCTTTCCCAGATGTGGTGGACAGGCTTGTCCATGGATAAACCTGCTGCCACAGTGCCTAAGTATGCTATCTGAGGAAAGAAAAGCAGACAGAACAAATAAAATAACTGAGCCTGCTCTATATAAATGAGTAGAAGGCAAATTCAGTGGGCTATAGAAATAGGAAGGGGAGTCTCATTTTCACCAAATTATATATATATTACCCCCGCCCCCAGGTTAAACCATGAGTTTCTGGTATTTTAAAGTTTCAAGATTCTGAGCCTCTTAGATTTTTAATCTCTCCATGTAATCCTGTGTTTTGAGGCATCTCCAGAAATCTTGTCAGTAGTAGTCACCCACCTTTTGCTGGCTGTTTTTTCTTGCAGTTCCTTACTGCTGGACTCTGTCTTCTCTCTCCTGTGCTACTTTTCTCACTGGCCTCTATGAATCCCACTGTCCTTCTCCTTGCAGAGAGACATGGTGAATGCTTCTTGCAGCTGCTTATCCCTGAAAGTCTCACCATCCATTAAGGTTCCTTCATCCAGATGTGTCTTTGTGCAGCCTCATAAAAATCTTCTTCAGTGAAGCCTGTTGATTTTCCACTTTGAGCAAACTTTTTACTCTGCTATCTTTCATACTTACATCGAACACACTGACTGGGCACTTGCTCTGTCCAGCTAGAATCTGATTCTGGCTGCCTGGCTGAATCGTGGCTTTGAACCCCAGAGGACCTCCCATCCCTGCTGTGTTCTGCTCGACAGCCTCATGCATGTCACTTTGCTGCCACCCTTCCCAAGGCTACTGGCACCTGGGGAACCAGAGTGGCATCATTTCCTAAAGCCTTCTCTCTGGTGAGGTCACTCCTGTTCACTGAGGAGAAGTCCTTCTGTCCTACTCTGAGCACAGCTGTCTCTACTGTCCCCAAGAACACACGCCACCCAAGAAAATAGTTCCTTTCAGCTTTCCCCTGGAGTCTCACTCCCTGGCGTCAGATACACATTCATGCAACTGGGCTGTGATGGTTAAGACCCAAAATGCTGTGCAAAATTCATTACATTGGAGGTTTAGGTACTAACTGGTGGGATTTGGGGGACTTATTTGACCTTGAGGACTCTAACTTCATCAAGTGGATTAACTCATTGGTAGATTAATCCACTGAATTAACTGAATGGGCTGCAGGGAAGTGGGGCCTACTTGGAGGAAGGAGGCCAGTGGACAATGTCTTTCAGGGGTATATCCTGTCCCCAGCCCTTCCCCTTAGGCTCTTTTCCTCTGTCTTTGCTTCTAACTGCCATGAGGTGAACAACCTTTCCCTATCATCTTTTTCCACCATCCTGTTTCTGCCTTGCCATAGGTGTAGCAGCAATGGAACCAAGTGATCATGGACTGAGACTTTTGAAACTGAGCCAGAATTAACCTTTCCTCCTCTGTGTTGGTTTTCTTAGGTTCTTGGTCACAGTAACAAAATGTTGACCAACTGAGCTCTGACAGCATTAGCATAAAAATGATTTTATGACTTAGTAAGTCTAGGGAACACTGAACTCAAAAAAGATAAAATGGAAAATTCTTTTGTAGTTTTCCTAATCTCTGAGTCTTTGAGAAGACAGCAAATTTCCAAAAAGGGCCCTGGCAATGCCATCTTCACATGTCGTCAATGAACATTTTGTGGGTCACGTTTTGGGACACGATGGCTAATGATTGTGATGCTCAGTAAAAATAGGTTATCTAGTATTTCCACTACTTTGTGATGATAAAGAAGTTTTTGTATTCTTAAACTTTTACCTCAGGCAGTCAGAATGGATCTACCTATCAGTGGCCATTTCAAGGCGTGGTCACATAGTTCCATCAAAAACATCTGGGAATATAGGCTTGACCAGACTGGGATTTGAATTCTGACTCAGTTACTCAGTGACATTAGGCAAATTATTTCACTTCTGTGAGCTTTAGTTTTTGTGTTACCAAAAGAGAACCAATTGACTCTATTAAATGGGACAGCAGTGGTAAAGCAACTACTTCAGCCTGGAACATAGAGGTTTCAGCCAGTGAGCTTTCCCCTTCCTTATACCACAGCTAGCTATCTCATGGGTCAGGCATTGCTTCCCTATTATCCAAAGCTTATTGACTAATTCTTTTGAAATTCTTCACCAGTATCTAAAGAATTGATAAGATCTAAGGAGTCAGATAATAGGTTTTAGTGTATTTGAGAAGATTAAATCAAGAAGGAAATGTTCCATTTTTGCAATCCCAACTCATTGACAATGGCAGCAGCTGGTTTGACTTTGAATTCTTGGAACTGAATCTTAATACTACCCTTTGAGGTAAAATCCACAAGGATTTCTTCATTTCTCATTCCAAATCTGGGAAGAAATATTTTCTCCTCTAATTTCTATTTCTTTTTAATGTTGTTACATAATACTTATTATAAAAATAAATCATACAAAATCCTACCACCCACATATCAAACACTTTCATTTTTTGCTGATGGTTTTAATGCATCTGGTCTGATGCCTTGTCTTTCAAACTATTTCTGGTTACATGATATTAAATCAAAGATAGTTATGAAGATTGAATCGTGGTAATGTTTGAAAAGTATCTTCTCTGGTGATTGGTATATGATCAAGTTTTCACTGGTGGATAATTTTGATGTTTCTAATTTCTTCCCTGATTTTTGTGTCATGACAATCTTCATGCCTGTATGACAGGATGATATTTTGAGATATTACAATAATTCTTTTTCTCTGCATCTGTGACTTCCCATGAAAACACAGAGAGGCTGCTCTTACCCCAACATGGAAGGGCTTGGGGCTTGGCTCAAAGCACAGGCATCTACAAATATTTTCTCTTCTCAACTGTAATTTTCAAACCTCAGGAGAGAGCATGGGCAGAGGTGAAAGGAGAAGAAATCCTAAGAGTGATGGAGCATTTTAGAAAATCAGAGGTGAGAACATGATCCTTCTTTTTATTTGGTTCTGACGTCTACCTGTATAGAGGGAAAGCAAGAAATAACAAGACAAAGAAGAAAGCAGGAATCCGAGGTCTTCACCCTGGCAGGATCCCTAGAAAGGTGGCAAGACTCTATGGAGAGGAGTTGGTATGATGGGGGACCCAGAGAAAAGCATTCCTACCATTATCAGGGACCCCTTTGTCTTACAGATGACACAGAAACAACTGAAGCCGATCACCAAGGCAACATGAGGGTGAACGCCACCCAAGAAGCTTCAGCATTACATAGAAACCTTAGCTTAACCCTATTTTCAGGAAAACCTCAGTAGCTGAGATTAAATTTTTCTGGACCACAAAAGATTTGAGTTTCAGATTCAGAAACTGATTTGAGTTATAGAAATAGGATACTTCTTTCACTCTGAGTATGTGAGCTAAAATTATATCTGCTACATATATATTATATACAGTTTTATTTTTACTTATACTTTCTAGTTTATGTTGGCACAAGGTTTTATTAATTACCTTATAGGGTATCAGTATATATGTATGTGTATTGTGCATAGGTATTTTTATATTTTAAATGATTTTCTTAAAATAAATTCCCTAGTGAAAAATTATAGGTCAAGATATATAAACAATTTTGGGTCTCTTGTTTTACAGTTCCAAGTTATTTTCCACAAAATAACTTCAAATTACCTCGATATCAAGAATGATTGAAGGTCCTGATTTAACCACATATTCGTTAGATTTAGTTACTAGTATTTAAAACAGTCACAGTTGAGTACTACAAATGCTATTTCAGTTCTGCAAACATTTCTTAAATTACTGGAGAGAGTAAAGCTTATGCCATGTACTTCTTTATGAATTTAGTATCTTCTTAAATATATTAAGCTTTGGTATGCAATGTTATCTTTGAAAAACTAAATCTTTTTTTATCTTTAATAGCTTACTTTTTCTTGTGGATAGTACATCACACAGAACATTCTGCACCTTAAACTATCTAAAGCCAACCTCAACTTTTCACCACTGGAAAACATGTCTTTCATCAAGTGAGTTCTGAGCCAACCACCTAAAAGGCCAAGTTCTCTTTTTCTGGCTGAGATGTACAGGTTCTAATTAGGTAGTGCTATGATTATGAAGGAATCATTCACTTATGAAAGGCAGAGAAAATGTGACAGGGAGTAAGGCAACTCATTGCATTTCCTGAATAGTTTCAGGCACTTGGGAGTTCAGACTCACTACCACTGGTTGCACATTTTCTAAAGGAAATGACCCAGATGAGAAATATACCTTGGGTAGAGACACAAAGTATAAGCCTTGTATAAGCAAAGCCACAGTTTACTTACAACAGTGAGTTTAGAAAAATGATAGCCCCACAAACTTACTTAAGAGCATTTTCTTCCACTCAATTCCAGCAACTTTGAGAGGTCCCAGTGCAGAAACTGAACATCCCTGGCCTAGGGATACTGTTTGTCGGCATCCTTTCTCCTTGCCTGCATGCCTTCTACTCATTCTTCAAGCGCCCTGATTCCAGCGTCATCTCCTCTGAGAAGCATCACCGGTCCATCAAGTGATCCTGGGTATGCTTTGGTTTCCATGTTCTGTGTTCTTCTTGGAAATTTAATGCCTTTCCCACACTAAGTCTTCAACTTTTCCCTTTCAACTGGACCCCTCCTAACAATAGTCAAGCATGTCTCTGTTTCTTCCAGTTCATAAAATTATTCTCTGGAGACCATGTTGCTCTCCAGTTACAGCTACCTTTCATCCTTTCCCTGCTGAATTCATAAAACAGTGGTCTATGTTCTGTTTCCACTTTGGTATTCACTGCAATCTGGTTCTGTCTCATAAGTCCACCAAAGTGGGTCTCCTTAGTGTTACCTTCATGGCACTGAATCTACTGGACAACTCTGAGTTCTCATTGTCTAGACACCCAGCAGCACTTGTCCTTACCAGCCTGGAGCCCTCTGTCTTGCTTTACTCTTACCTTGATTCTGTGACTCCACATTCTCCCGATTGTCTCAGCTTCTCCCCTCTCCCCTGTAGGCTTCTTTGCTTAATGCTCATCTTTGTCCTGATCCCTAAATACTGGCCTTCTCCAGTTCACTCATCCGCTCTTCCCCAAGGTTTTCTTCAGCCGCAGACCAGTATCTGCTGCAGTTCTCATGGCTCAGGAGTTTGAGGTTTGCATATCCAAAATCCAGTGTGGCCTTTCGCAGAGGAACTTGGTGAATTCATAATACTCCCCCAACTTGCTCCTTCTCAAGTGTCTGTCACTTGGGAATTCTCCTAAAATTTTTGAGTTGTTTTATTTTTCCTTTCAAGTTTATGTTTGTTTGCTCAAGGATTTATTGATTGATTAATTGACTGGATCTAAGTCCTATTTTTCCAACAGTCAAGGAGAGAGCTTTACACTTCATTATTGGCCTAGAAAAACTTCCTGTTTAACCAAAATTGCTTCCTCAATTCTCCTTTCAAATGTGATTCATCAGTATTGTCAGCGATACATGAATTCTCAGCAAATCTTGGATCTTTTAAAAAATAATAGGAGATGTATCTTTTTATTTTAAACTATTAACTTTGAAAGCATAAATGTACAATGCTTCTTAGGCCCTGGGGAAAGTAGACAGAATGCCAATAAAGCAGAGTTCAATTTTTTTGAAGAAAAAAATCTGATGCTTTGAAATGTTTCCAACGATGTAAAAAAATAATCACAAAAGGCCTATTCTGTCCCCCTCTGTGGCTATTGGATGGAGCTGCACTGGAAGAAGCAGCTCAGCTGGGATGCATCCTAATCATGCTTCCAGCCAAGCACTTGAAAAAACACATCAGCTCAGAAGACCCTGAATACTAATGACAATCCCTTACGTTTGCATAAGCAAAAACATGCAGGAAAGATTGCTTCACAATTTGTGAAGTATTTTGCAATCAATAACTTGAGTCTTCAGCTACCTTGCTAGGTAGGCAGGGGTTGCTTTATATTTTGCAAATGAGGAGACTGAGGTCCTAAGAGGTAAGGTCTTTAAGCTTATAGTCTTGCAGTGTTGTAAGTTTTATTGTAGGAATTTGAATTCAAGTCTCTCTATTTTGATTGTAGGATTTCCCATTCTCTCCTACTTCCAGCCAAGTACAGTGTGCTGCTTTATCCCTTCCAGGAGATGGGACAGATTCCTTTTAGCAGAACAGAAGCAAGGGAGAGAGGTAACTTAGGACACCCTTATAGAGAAGCTTCAAAATTAAGTTGGCCTGAAAATTAGTGTTCAGAGAGAACTGCTGCACAGGAGGTTGAACACTGGCTAGAGTCAGAGTGAGAGGGCTTCAAGTGTAAGTTAGACTGAAGGCTTCACAGCAACTGAGAGAAACACTATAGGATCGATTCAATTCTCCCTGTACTGTGGAACACATATTTAAAAGCAAATTTCCAAGCCAGCTTGCTCTGACTCCCAGACCTAAGATGATTCATCTCTGAGTCCTATAAGCTGGAGAAAGTTTTCAGAGTGCCTCCACAGCGGCATGAAAACTAGGTAGCTAACTTGGTAACCTGTGCTCACACCTAGGACATCAACTCTTGCCATCTCCCTGAATCCCAACTTCACCTTTCATTTGTTATTTTAAAAATTACATGGTTTTGGAAATATCTACCTCCCTGCACTGTGAATCACATGCTCTAGAGCAATTACCTGCCACCATCAGTGCCTCATACATAGTAGGCATCCAACCAGCACTGGATGAATAGACAAATAGGTAAATGAAACTTGGAGTCTAGAGAGATTCAGTGATTAGGAGTGGAAGAAAGAGAGGGACTGGGGAAAAAAATGGGCTTTATAGAGAGAAAGATTACCTTGGAGCCACAGATGGAGCACTGGATACCTGTTACTGAATTCCTTCCCTGACCCTCATTTTCTTTATATATATGAATTGAAGATGCATTGAAGATGAGTTTATATCCTCCAGTGAGAAATGTGTTCATCAATAAATACATGCTTCAATGTATCTATCACTAAATGTTTTACATTTTTCCTGTGTAATTTCTTCTTTCTATGCTGAATGTGAAGCAGTTTATGTATTTAGATGTGTAAAACAATATATCACCTTCTCTCCTTTTTCCTTCTTCTTCTCTAGCAACTTTATTCTGATTGAGCTTCTAACCAACTGAGCTGTTAAGAATATCATCTTAATTTTTGTTGGGGCTTCTTTCTCCCAAATGTTGTGAAATGGTTCCAAAGTCTTATGTAATTCAAAGCCAAAGCGTGTCTTTTCTGTTCATTATTATCTCACTAGATCCTAACTCTTTCTTTTCCCGCGATAGCTTTAAGCTCAATCACATTGTTAGAAAAGGCTTTAAGATCTCTTTAAGATCACCAGGAAAGACGCTTATTCCATCACACCATTCATAACACTCATTAATATCATTTATCTCAACGTTTGCAGTTTCTGCTCCCTCCAGATGGAAGGTAGAGTTCATGAAAGTGTTGCTTCCTGTGGCTAGAACTCAAGCACTCTCACACATCCATCTTCATGGGCTCTGCTACTGCAAGACACCAAGAGCTGCTAACAAAGGGACCCGATGCCTTTGTCTTTGAAATTTCTCATTCTTTGGTTCTTGCCTCTCTCCTCTTATTACTGACACCTCTGTGTTCTCTTTCATAAACTTAGAACTTTAAACTTCTAGTTTATTTTATTCCTAGCCCCTGCCAAATTATCTGAGGAAAGGTTTATTTGGCCTTTGTGTTTGGAGGAGGTGGAGACTGGCTCAAGAAGAACACAGAACATAAAATATTTACCATAAAATTTCTAGGCTTTCTTGATGTAACAGATAGGGCTCATGCCCAGACTCCTTGCACCAACCACTAGATGAGGATGTCTGCTTCTACCAGTACTCAAAACTGTCTGCTTGGGGTTAGAGTGACCAACCATTGTGTGAGCCTGGGCCTGTCCTCCTTTCATTTGTAAAAGTTCCGCATGTCCGTCTTTTAGTACTGAGCAAACTGAGAAGGCTGGCTACTCTCTCTGGGGAAGCATGGAGTTCAGCCTCTAAGCAGGGAAAAACAGGAGCTCCAGAAATATAATTTATGCCGAGCAAGCAGCACTCAGTTAATGATGAACAGAGAGTTGGTGAATAAAGCCCAGGGCTTTGCCTATGGTATGGGCCATAGGTGTGTTTTCTGCTATTGTCAGGTGTTCCTTAATAGTTGCCTAGAGTTGTAAAAGATTTGATAACATTTTTGTTTGTTCCTTTTTTCCTTTCTCTTTTTGTCCACTCAACATATGTTTTTCCTGGTGTTGTTTCTAGATAATCCCCCTGTACTCAAATCCTTGTGCTGTGTTTTACGTCTAGAAGGAGGTGAAGACAAATGACTTGCAAAATGTGGAACCAGCACTCGCATTTATTACATTCTCATCTTGCGTTTTAAGAAAATGTGAAAATGGATAGATCCTCTCAGTTTTGCACAAACCTTTTAACAACCGGGCATAAAAGCCCTGGCAAAACTTTTATTCAGGGCTTGCAAAGGAGGTGATCAGAGAGGTCTTGATGACTGCACATTGAAGGTCAATTACTTTTCCACCCTTGAGGTGTGTACTAGCCTGAGATGAAAGCTTTTATAGCTGGGGATATAGCTCAGTGACACAGCACCTTCTTGACAAGCTTGGGATTCTGAGTTTGACTCTCAGTATCAAAACACAAACAACAGCAACAACAACAAAAAACAAAAAAAAAAAAGAAAGGAAGCTTTTATAATTCTCCAGCATTTTCCTGTCTGCTTCCTCTGCTGATAGCTCTTCATCCTGAGGCTTTGTGATGTTATAACAAAATACTTGAAAGTGGACACTTAATAAAGAATAAGAATTTATTTTCTCACAGTTCTAGAGGCTGAGAGACTTGAGATTAAGGTACAGGCAAGTTGGGTTGTCTGGTTGGGACTTCTCCACATCCTCTAGAGAGGAGGAGCAATGTGTCCTTGCCCAGTGAAGGACAGAGGGTGACAGCCAAGTGTTACATGAAGCCATCTGACGTGGCCTTGGTCCACTGGGGAAGCAAGGTCCCTCATGACCTCTCCAACTCTGACAGTGCTATCTCATTTGCTAGGAAGGTCCAACACACACATTTTGGCAGGGACACATTAAAACCATAGCAGCTAGTGACAGTGGGCTACAGAGAGGTCATTCAAAGGGTGATGATAGGCTGGGGATTTAGCTCAGCAGCACAGTGCCTGCCTGGCAAGTGCAAGGTTGTAAGTTTGATTCCCGGTACTGGAGAAAAACCAAAAAAAAAAAAAAAAAAAAAAAAGATGATGATAGCTTGGGCTTTTTCTCTAGTGTGGTAGTGAAAGCAAGGGCCACCGTGGGACTGCGCTGCGCTTTCCTGAAGTGTGGGCCTAAGGTACATGTTTCTCAAAAATTAGACATTCTTTTGGATTGACTAGACTGGCTATTGTTCTAAAAGAGACCTCCCACATAAATTTTCATGCTGTAATTAGAGGAAGGTATTGACAGAAAGCCCTGCAAGTCACAAAAACCCTCAGAGCAGTTCTCAGAGGACATTCACATTATGAGGGATCAGTTCTTAACCCAACGGCCATGTGAATGAAAAATCAGGTTTTTAGATGACCGAGTCCTCTTCCAACAGCTTGATTCAGCCTCCCTGGAAAGTGTGAGCTGGAACCACGCAGCTCAGCTGCCCCTGGATCCTAAACACACACACTGTGTGAGGGAATGCATGTTTATTGTTTTAAACCTCTAAGTTTTGGAGATATTTTATGTATACTTGTGTGGTAATAGATAACCAGAACTTCCTGTGAAGAAAGGTACAGTCAGGAGTTCCTCAAAGGTGATAGCTGAAGGTCCACAAATACCCCATAAAAGGAAAAAGTCAGCTTTCACCACTCCCTAGCCCAAAGTGTGCCAGTGGCCAAGCCATGCCAACCTAGGAAGACTCTCCTTTACTTCCGGAATCAGTGGATTAAAGTAGTACCTTAAAGTTAAAAGTTTTTCCTTTAGAGAAGGGTGACTTCTCCAAACTTCCTCTAGCCCAGGGTGTAAATGCTGCTTCTCCTTTCTTCTCAGCCCAGATGAAGGGACAGAGTATGGCCATGCTGAAATCAGGAAGTCAGGAGCCTGGTTTGTGCTCCAAAGGAAGGGAGTGGAAGTTGGTTGGGAAAGATGCTGCAGCCTGAAG